TACTCTTTATACATATTTAATTAAAGTTGAGATAAATTGATTTTATAAAAAAAAGCCACAACTGCGTCCTTTCAAGATAGAGGTAGTATATGCATACTTCTGTAGTTCCATTTTGTGCTTCGAGAAAGAAAGAGCATCAACACTTATGCCTCTCTCTGTTTCAAACTAACTTCACAGAAATTTAGAGCCCATTTGAGAAGGCTTTCTATAGCCCTAGCTACGGCTAATGTGATACTATAGGATGATATTGTAGTTGCACTACTCATAAAACGGTTTTTCTTTCTCTAAAAAGCAACATAGATTAGAGTCAAGGAAACCATCTTTTCTTTCTTCATTGGTTTTAGTTCCTCAGAATACTGCAACATGGAGCTAGAGCTCCCTGTTCGCTTGAACTTATCGCTTGAACTTATCGGTGCATGTTTTTTCACCAAAAAATGATAAATGTTTTTTTCCAACCAACAAATTAGCATAAAGAAAATTAGTCCCCATTTTTCCAACCAATTGTAGCGTGAAGAAAAGCCCTCCCTGGCTCCTCAGGTTATTGTAGCGAAAGAAAAGCTAGAGCTTCGAAGTCCTCTCAATCCAGCAAGTTGTAGCTCCCCGATGGAGCATTGTTCACTGTACTATATAGGAGCATATAGAGGCGCTAGAGCCATGGAGAGCCCCAAGTCCCTAACGGACCCCTAACGCAGGCTGCAGCTCCTTGATGAAGGATTGCCACTGCAACAAGCAAACAGCTGTACAGTACGAGCCCGCAGGTCGGATGACGCAGAAGCAATCAAGCACAGACAATTTGCCATGTTTCTTACCTTTGAAGACACTTCACCTAGCTATGACTAATAAATAGAGTGATCCCCATTTTCTAAAACCTTCAGAGACCTCACGTCTTGGGAAAATCCATTCGAGAAAACTGTTGTGTGTATCGGAGGTTCTCATTTGTTTCATACACATTTTCTGTTTCTAATGTTTGCAGCTATCTCCGAAAATACAAAATGCAAATGAAGGTAGAGGATTTTCTGGTTAAAACCAGAGGCTTTTACAGCAGAACAGAAAATAGTTCGCAAACATCATGGCAAGAAAGGCTCTTGGTCAATGCCAAGTATGATCATTTCATTTTTGACATAGCAAACTACCAACACAGGCACAGAAAAGTACTACTGCTTCACATCATCACATGTTGTACTGAATTGAAGGAAACCATATAATGCTGGCAACTAAGTCTCCAAACTAGTGCAGCAAGAATCGAACTGCAGCTACAGCATCACCTTTGTGCTCTCGGAGGGTTCTCTCTGCAATCTTCTTGTCCAGCTGCATATTCAGATACACTTGAGAACAGCTTTTTTTAAAAATAAACATTATTTGTCAGTCAAGGTTTTGGATGAGTACCTCAAGCTCATTAGCAATAATTTCAACATCGGTAGGGTTGATCTTGACAGCAGCTAGTTCTTTCTCCCTGATGAAAGAGTAAATGCAGTGAATGTGATAAAACTGTTACATGGCACTTTTCCGGAAAAAAAAACAATATGTCACCAATGGAAGAGATGGACTATATCTGCTTATTGTGTACATTTCAGATGGAGAGTTCATATCACCCAATAAAATAATATGTTACAAGAACTACAGAATAATCACAGTGCACAGAAATTGAAACATCAAATAGTCAAATAGCATTATAGCAATATAGTATACTGAAATGCACCGACCACCAAAAGGAAAAGGTTAGGCTAAAATTACAGAATCAAGAACGCTATATTCCAATTAGATTTTCTTCCAATTTGCATGCTACTTTCTGATCATCCAACTCAATCAAGATCCTGGAAGCTTTATTTTCATACTGTGCTGCAAAAAGTGCTGCCCTACCGAAGCTACCGTAGAGGAAGGATCGCAAGGAGCTAATAGTTGTGGACATGTTATGTGCTAACCTCAGCCTCATTGCATTCCAGTCAGCCTCTTTGGATGAAGCAAGCGCCGCCATGGCCTGCAGCATAAACAAAGCATGTAAAAAAGAGTTGCACCAATTTAAAAGCATAGCTGAATCAAACACAACGTTTCTCTATAACTCTGCAATTGACTTCTACTTTTATCTACGACTTTAGTATTCATAAAACTATAAAATAACGTTCAAGATCATTGCAATGAGCAGATAAGAATCAAAGGTGAATAGAAATGTTATCCAAGCAAATACAATCGAATGCCACTTATTGTTGATCCAATGCTTTCCCTCAAGTGCATACTCTAAATGTATATCATTTTGGACATAATAAGGTCCACTGGGGGCTTTCTTTTTACTACTAATTTCTCGCGCAGTTGTTGGTAAGAAACTACGAATCTGCAGTAAAAGTATTTTAATGACGAAAAACTGGTGTTACTTTACTCAGACAATCTAGATAAATTTAGTAGCCAAGACAGAAATATATTTGTACATGGAGTGACAGCAAAAATTCTATAGGGTGCTACAAAACTGAGTTTAATAGATAGCAGTTGACAATCATGTTGCAAACTATATTCAGATCTGTAAGAAATCCTACAGACATCTTTTGTGGTTAAGCTAGAAATAAGTACATAACTCGACCACGACATGGCGTTACTGGTTTATTTTGGAAGGAAACTTAAAAGAAGGTTAGAACAGATTGACGTGCAAACAGAACCTGCTAGAAATATCATGGGTCCTGGTACAATCGACATTCGGAAATTATGAGATGTCCATGTGCTTGCTTCCATTTGTAGCAATGTAAAATAGCAGTTAGACTTCCCATTTGTGATGGCAGTCGATTCATAAGTGCAATAGCAGTTAGACTTCCTACTTGTGATGGAAGTTGCTTCATATGCGCAATGGCAGTTAGACTTCCTACTCGTGTAGCGGTCACCGGTCAATTCTTAAGTGCAATGGCAGTAGTACTGATACAAGATTTTGCACAGAACAAAACGTTTTGTTATTTCTACTAAACGCAGCATATGTTTAGTTGATGAACCAGGATTCAAGCAAGCAAAATTACACATGAGCTAGCTATATCAGGATTCAGGTAAATTTACAGGCAGAACTTTAGGTGAAGCATGGCATCACCGCAAAGCACGTATACTGCACAAAATCTAAAACCACCTATGTGTGATGGATCCAAAAAGGGTAAGATCGTCCAGCTATTCCTCACTAGAGCACTAGAGAGGAAGCAGAGAGAAGGAATCGGTGGGGGCGGGGAGGGGGGGATTAAACGTACGGATTGGACACGGGATGAATCGAGCTGCCGGTCCTCGACGTGATCGGTGAGCTTGTCGAGCGCCTTGCTCTGCTGCTGAAGGTCCTTGGAGTCCACCGCCCCCTCGCCCTCGGCGCCGGCGGCACCGGCCCCCACAGCCGCAGCCGCCTTCTCGTCGCCCGCCGCACCCATCGCCGTTTAAAACCCTAGTCCGGATCTCCTTTTCTCCGATGAGACGAGTGTGCGCCGCGCGCCTGTGCGGGGTGCGGCTGGCGCGATGGCCGTACGCTTACTTCTATTCCTCCATTCGTGCCTTAAGATTCGTGTACCATTAGGGCCTTGTAGGGGTGAGACGCGAGAGAACACTGTGGTTATTACGGGGATCAAAAACAGTTACGGACGTTTACATTTTTCAAAGTTTAGAGACCTTGAAAAGTTAAGGACCCCTATCAAAAAAAGAGAGAAAAGTTCAGGACCTTGGAAAGTTTACATTTTTCAATGTGTTTAACTATAATTTTACTGTTTTGTATATATGTCAATATTTATTTCTTTAGATCTAAACAATGTGCGTTTGTGTACTTTGTCCTGAGCATTGCGTACGTATATTCTACAAAAGTAAAATCTGAAAATACAGTCAAGCTCAAATTATTGGATGAGTCGTGCTTGGTTTGTAACCAAATTTTTTATCCAGGTTAGGATTTTTTTAGTCTTTTTTCGGACGAGTGCTCATATTTAATTATGTCCTTGCTACATCAAATTTATAGTGACATGATAGGTCACAGTTATGCTAGCATTTTAAAACCACAAAACGAGGAGAAAGCCATCTGAATAAAAAGATGTTCTCTATATCTTTTATCATCCAACAACTTTTCTATATCATATGCACACTTTAGAGAGGCAATCTTGTTGTTAGAAGGTATTTTCCACGAAAACTCTATCCCTATCAATAAGACTAGAATTCAGAATCGATCCGGACAAGTTCCAATATTTTGTATTAATTTTTAAAGAGAGAAAACAAATATATGCATACAAAGAGCGAAAATGTAAATCCCTTATCGTTGGGCGAACAAGTTAAAGAAAGCGTGAACGATAATGCGTTGGGTTGTTTAGACTTTAGAGGTAACAAATATGAGTAGAGAATCATGGAAAACGTCTTTCTAGAATACTAGCTTGTGTAAGTATGATGTACTACCGAATAATCCGTGATGGCCACTTGATACAAAAGTATATGAAAATGTCCGGAGGGGTGTGTATATATATATATTATCCTGACGTACACAAACTATTATTCTTGCCGGATCGAAGTCTTTGAGCAATCATGTGCGGGCACACCCGTATGCGATGCGAGCAATGCAAGAGCTAGAGCGGCCCATCGCGCTGGCCGCACGACACGCCTCGCCCGCCCGCCCGCCGGCCGGCGGCTGCTTACTTTAAAGCACGCACAAAAAGAAAACGATTATAAAATTTGTTTTTTAACGAAAAAAGGTTCACCTCACGTCCCCACCCCACCGAGCGCGACGCGAGCGAGGAGGCAGGCGCGCACCGCGTCGCACCGAACCCGGCTCGCCCTGCCCGCTGCCCCCACGTCCGGGCGTCCGGCTCGGCCGTTCCATCCCGTTCCGTTCCCCTCCCATTCTTCTCGTACTCCGGTACGCGGCCGATTGCGACCCTCGCCCCACTCGCCCCTCCCCACACCACACCACACCACCGAAACTGCCCCGCCTCCGCAGCCGCCGCCCGCGCCCGCGCCCGCTCGTCCTCCCCGCGCCGCCTCGGGGACGCCCCGGTCGGCGATGTGGCGGGAGCATGCTGGGCCCGCTCCTCAGGCTCCTCTCGGCGTGCGGCGGGGTCTGGCCCACCTCGCCGGCCCCCGGCGCCCACGCCGCCGCGGCCTCCTCCTCCTCCTCCTCGGCGGACGACTCTGAGGGCCGCGACGGCCTGCTCTGGTGGCGCGACCTCGCGCGCTGCCTCGCCGGCGACGTCTCCGTCGCCGTCGCCCAGGCCAACCAGGTGCTCGAGGACCAGTGCCGCCTCGACTCCGCCCCGCCCCTCGGCACCGTCGTCGGCGTCTTCGACGGACACGGCGGCCCCGACGCCGCCCGCTTCGCCTGCGACCACCTCGTCCCCAACCTCCGAGGTAATCCACGCCCGAATGCAACCCCGTCCCGCGGCCGGCGCGGTGAGCGTGAAACTGTATAATAGGCAGGCAGCTGACGCTTGATTCATCTGCGCGCAGAGGCGTTCTCCGGCCCTCGGGGCGTCACCGCGGACGCCATCAGGGAGGCGTTCCTGGCCACGGAGGAAGGCTTCCTCGCGCTCGTGTCAAGCCTCTGGGAGGCCCAGCCGGACATCGCCACGGACGGGACGTGCTGCCTCGTCGGCGTCGTGCACAACAGGACCCTTTTCGTCGCCAACCTCGGCGACTCCCGGGCCGTTCTCGGGAAGAAGGTGGGCCGCGCCGGGCAGATTACTGCAGAGCAATTATGCAGTGAGCACAATGCCAATCAGGAGGCTGTCAGGCAGGAGCTCAAGGCGCAGCACCCAGATGATGCTCAGATTGTTGCACTCAAGCATGGGGTCTGGAGAGTGAGGGGCCTCATACAGGTCGGTCTTACCTGAGTCCCCTGTATAGTATATTCATTCATGAATCAGAGACTAGTATGTCTGGTGCTTATGATTATGTGGTGGCAGTGCAGGTGTCTAGATCAATCGGTGATGTATACCTGAAACATGCAAAGTATAACACAGAGCGGATCAAACCCAAGTTCAGGCTTTCTGAATCATTCAGCAAGCCATTATTGAGTGCTGATCCATCTATCATCTCCCGCAATCTTGAACCAAATGACTGTTTCATCATATTCGCGTCAGATGGTTTGTGGGAACACCTGAGCAATCAGGAAGCTGTTGAGATTGTTCACAACCATCAACATGCTGTAAGATTCCTTTTCTTTTAAGTTCCATAACTACTCAAATTACTTATGTGATTTTCTTGATCAATCCGGTATCCAGTCATTTCATATGGCAACCTTAAAACAAATACAAACAGTTTGCAAAATGTTCATGGCCAGAACACTTAAGATCACAACTATATATTAACACCAAATTCTGCAATATCTCTATGGAGTTTTTGTTTTGCAATGGTAGCAACTAGCAATACTTTCACTATACAAAAAGTTTAAGAATCATCAGAACTAGGGAATTGCTAAACACATGGTGAACCTATTATTCTACCCATGGAATTGTGGACTAGAATTATCAGTCAGTGTGATCAATTTGGAATGTGACGGTCTCTAGTTCTCATAGATTGCATTCACTTTAAAGCTCATGACTGTGATAAAATCCAGGCAAACACATCCAGAGTGAATTCAACTTGGTTGCATTAAAATCCAGGCCTTACCATTTTGCCAGTATCAGTATGAAATTGGTAGTCCACTATGGCCAGCGCAGTTGCTACAATACTAACAATGAATTCATTCTGGATGTGTGGCTGGCATGCAACCTGTATCGGGATCCCACAGTTCTGCTCCTGTTGTGATCCAGCAAGCTGTTACAACCTTTATTGCTTCGCATTTAGGGTCATTTATTAGGTATCAGTTATGGGAAAAAGTTTGCTGTATCAACGGTGTCTTTTTTTTTTTTTGAGGTAAACATGCCTTTCATTAAGATTAAGGGACCGAAGCCTCAACAAGCAGCAGATGGCTTACACAAGCTGGGGCTACATGCCACACCTCCAGCCTAGACGAGTTTGTGACCTGCTTAGCGAGAGTGTGTGCTATGTGTCAACGGTGTCCTGCCCTCCAGTAATGCTGCAAGGAAGATTGTGGTCATGGTATTTATTGTCAAATGACGCAAACTGTGTACATGGTTATTAGACCTATGATTAAGCGTAATAAATGTACTACTTGCATGAAAGGAATATCGGTTCTGAGTTTTTTTTAAGTACCTGGGATGCACTACCATGACTGACGTCCACCTAGTTACTTTGTCCCGTCTTATTAGTTTTGTGTATTTGTTTGGTCTGCTGCCTCTTGACGACTCACTTAGCTGCCATGGCTGGACATGTTATTGCTTTGTACACTGAAATAGCATGTAAGATATCGCATCAGTCTCCAATTTGACACGTTAAGTTACTGCGCTAGTCTAACGTGCTCAAGTTAAGTTAGTTTATCTGCCACTGATGCATGTATTGCGTTGGTTTTCTTGGCTGTTGGTTAAATAGTACAATGTCCTCACAAATACATTGAATTACTTTTGTTACTTTCAAAAACAAGAGTTGCATTTACTATGATTGCTGCTTTTTTTCTTACTCAGGGAAGTGCAAGAAGACTCATAAAAGCTGCTCTACAAGAAGCAGCGCGGAAGCGTGAGATGCGTTACTCAGACCTTACAAAGATCGATAAGAAAGTTCGCAGGCATTTTCATGATGACATTACTGTCATCGTCTTATTTATAAACCATGACCTATTATTGAAAGGTGCTCCGCAAGGACAACCCCTCTCCATCAGATGTGCCCTAGATTATTGACAGTGAGCTAGTTCATCCACTGGTGTTCAGCTCCTATGGGCAGCCATATCCAGAGTCAGCTGACATGGTCAACCGGTTGTGAAAAGCGCACAACCTCCGGCACCAGCTTCCTTTTTTGTTTCCCATTTTTGCACATAAAATTTACAAGTTGCTGAATTGCCAGTTTTCCCCTCTTGAATTATGTCGGATAAAATGCGGATACTCTTCGGTTTTGGAGATATATGTCTAGACTCTAGAGCGTGAGGGAAGGTTACTGATCCTAATTCTGATCGGTTCGTTCTCTTGCTTACAGCTACAGCTAGTTCGTTTTGTATGTGACAATTGTCAGCATGTTTAACCACATCCCCTGACGTTTGACAGCGACCTGGTTACTGTACTTCAGGCCGTCATGATCATAAATTGTTTATGCATGCTTCAGAGTTGGTATTCAAGCATGAATTAGGATCAGTGTGATGTGATGATCATTGATCAATCTCCCATTCGGGAAGTTTTTACAAGAAACATTATGGGTTCAGAAAAGTCCAAACGTTTCTAGCCGTTATTAGACTTCAAGGCTTGAAAGCAAACAGCTGGTGTGAGCTTTTGCCAGTGAAAAACTGCAGAATTCTCTCTTCTTGTTTTATTCATGAAATGTCCAATTGTTCTACCGGATAATTCCTTTTTTAATCACTGCCTTTTGCATTCACTCACACACATCACAGTCCAACCAATCATGGTTTTCCACGTGCCCAGGAAAAGAAACGGAGCCGGAGAAGTCACAATTTCCAGCTCTAGTCCGCAGTTTCCAGCTCCCTTCACCTAGTTCATTTTTTGGGTGAAGTTTTTTTTTGAGCCATTCATTTTGCCGGAGAAGCCACAGCTTCCAGCTCTCTTCGCTGGAGAAAACACAATTTTCAGCTCTCTTCGCCTAGTTTTTTTTTTTGACTGGCTTCGCCTAGGAGCCATACCAAAGGGGGCCTAAGTGTTGAAGAAATCGATGATCACCAGTGGTATGAATGAAGAAAACATTTATGTATCATTTTCTTTGAGGTAATCACGGGGTTGCATTGAGCTGTTGGAGGAGTTGTCCCCGCCTTTCGTTGCATTGAGCTGTAGAAACACCGCAGATAAGTTACATGAGTAGGAAGATACAGAAGGGGATGCCATTATGTTTTTTTTGGTAGATTTCTGTGAAGCAAACTAGATGTGTCCGGTCAGGGAAACAGAGTATAGTGTAGCGCATGAATGATAGAAATCACATATGCACACAAAGTTGAGTTATTCTGAACAAACTCTGAATGGTAGTATTTTGGACAAGCTGCATTCCAGTTAAGCTAAAAATGTAGAACAACTAGAGCATCAGATGTTGGGAAAATATACATATATATTAACATGCAGAACATTTTGCACAAAAAGGAACCCCACAAGCATATACATGGTGTTGGAGAGCGATGATCACCCAATGTTGTGCACCAGAACAATTAAATGTAAACCTTCTCTAGAATACTGGCTAGTAGGCAGAACACCACTATCCATGCCATATTCTTGTCACGAGCTGGTGACTCGGCCCTCAGGTCCTATGTAGCGCGCACATTCTTTGGAATTATTTTTGTCTTGCTTACCTTATCATCTTTTTGCTTGATCACCTCCTCCTTTGCTGGATAGCTTCATCGTTTAGCTGAACGACCAATATGAAAAAAATGTTGCGCAGTGAGCCCTTCAATTACCAAAATGGGATTGCGCATAAGCCCTTTAGTTCTCACCACACGGAATATGCCATTTCATATCAACCAAAGGATTAGGCCCTGAACATGACCAAATACTACAGCACAACCAAGAATTTCAATTACTTCAAAAACACACAATATTCTGGTAACTAGAGCTACATCAATATGTTCAAGGCACCCAAAAAAACATTAGATGTGTGCTCCAACAAAAAAGAAAGATCATATTTGCTCTGTCCTGCCCACATTCATTAGTACAAAGCCACCAGATATTCTCCCAACATAAGAAGAACATGACCTCCTTTATCGCCTAAACATGAGATATTGCATGACAAGTACATACATGATCACCAATCATCGAATCTAGTAACCTGCAAGTATGCTAGTGAGATCATGTGAAAAAGCACAAAAACATCATAATTGAATCCAGTAAGCCTCTGCAGTTGCAGGCTTCCCAACGCAAAAAAGAAAGAAAGAAAAAGAAAAAAAGAAAAGAAAAAGGACACATACATTCAAGCTAATATATCCCAGTTGGGCCGCAAATCCCTGATCAGCTGAGCCCAGAAAATGGGCTGATGCAGACGACACAAAGTACGGGCCTCGGCGAGCCGGCCGGCATGTCGATGAGCTTCCCAATCCGATTCCGATGCTGTGCTGCTGCGCCACCGCATCCCTCCCGTCTCCGTCTCCTCTCCTCGCATGCCGCCGACCCCCACGCGCGCCTCAGGGCGGCGGCAGCATGCTCCGACCTGCCGGGCGCTATCGCCGCCTTCGCCTCCATGTCATCCTCCTCCGCCGCCCACGCGGCCGCGCGCCCCGTCCTCCGCACCTTCACCGCGCTCCTCAAGCTCTGCGCGGCGCGCGCCGACCTCGCCACGGGCCGCGCCGTCCACGCGCAGCTGACCGCGCGGGGGCTCACCTCCGAGTCCCTCGCTGCCACGGCCCTTGCCAACATGTACTTCAAGTGCCGCCGCCCCGCGGACGCGCGGAGGGTGTTCGACCGCATGCCCGCCAGGGACCGCGTCGCCTGGAATGCGCTCGTGGCCGGGTACGCGCGGAACGGGCTCCCCGCGCCCGCGATGGAGGCGGTCGTCCGGATGCAGGGGAGGAGGAGCGGCCCGATTCCGTCACGCTCGTGTCCGTGCTGCCGGCCTGCGCTGACGCCCGGGCGCTCCGCGCTTGCCGAGAGGTCCACGCGTTCGCGCTCCGTGCGGAGCTCGATGAGCTCGTCAATGTCTCCACGGCGGTTCTTGACGCCTACTGCAAGTGCGGTGCGGTCGAGGCGGCGAGGGCGGTCTTCGATTGGATGCCGGTCAGGAACTCCGTGTCTTGGAACGCCATGATTGATGGGTATGCTGAGAACGGGAACGCCACGGAGGCTCTGGCTTTGTTCTGGAGGATGGTCCAAGAGGGTGTGGATGTGACGGATGTGGCTGTGTTGGCAGCATTGCAAGCGTGTGGGAAGCTTGGATGTCTTGACGAGGCAAGGCGTGTCCATGAGCTACTTGTGAGCGTTGGCTTGAAGTCCAATGTGTCGGTGATGAACGCGCTTATCACCACGTACTCCAAGTGCAAGCGGGCAGACCTCGCTGTCCAGGCGTTCAATGAGCTGGGCATAAAAAAGACACGGATCTCGTGGAATGCGATGATCCTCGGCTTCACGCAGAATGGATGCTCCGAGGATGCGGAGAGGCTCTTCGCTAGGATGCAGTTGGAAAATGTGAAACCAGATTCGTTCACCTTAGTCAGCGTGATTCCTGCAGTCGCGGACATTTCTGACCCACTGCAGGCAAGATGGATCCATGGGTATTCTATCAGGCACCAATTGGACCAGGATATCTATGTCCTGACGGCCCTTGTCGACATGTACTCCAAATGTGGGCGTGTCTCCATAGCTAGAAGGCTCTTCGATTCCACAAGGGACAGGCATGTTATCACCTGGAATGCGATGATCCATGGTTATGGTTCGCATGGTTTTGGCCAGGCTGCAGTTGAGCTATTTGAAGAGATGAAGGGCACTGGCAGTTTGCCCAACGAGACAACATTCCTCTCGGTTCTTGCAGCTAGCAGTCATGCTGGTTTGGTTGATGAAGGGCGGAAATATTTTGCTAGCATGAAGGACTATGGGCTTGAACCTGGAATGGAGCACTATGGTACCTTGGTGGATCTTCTTGGACGAGCTGGGAAGTTAGATGAAGCTTGGTCTTTCATCCAAAACATGCCTATAGAACCTGGCATTAGTGTTTACGGTGCAATGTTAGGTGCTTGCAAGTTGCACAAGAATGTTGAATTGGCTGAAGAATCAGCACAGAGAATCTTTGAGCTGGACCCAGAGGAGGGGGTGTATCATGTCCTCTTGGCAAACATTTATGCAAACGCTTCAATGTGGAAGGACGTCGCGAGGGTGAGGACTGCTATGGAGAAGAAAGGACTCCAAAAGACTCCTGGATGGAGTATTATCCAGCTCAAAAATGAGGTCCATACCTTCTACTCCGGAAGCACAAATCACCAGCACGCAAAGGAAATATATGCAAGGCTGGCTAAGCTCATTGAAGAGATCAAAGCTGTGGGATATGTGCCAGACACTGATTCGATACATGATGTGGAAGATGATGTCAAGGCACAGCTACTTAACACCCATAGTGAGAAGCTTGCCATTGCATATGGGCTCATTCGAACAGCCTCTGGCACGACAATTCAGATAAAGAAGAACCTTCGAGTTTGTAATGACTGTCATAATGCGACCAAGTTAATATCTCTAGTGACAGGACGGGAAATAATCATGAGAGATATTCAACGCTTTCACCATTTTAAGGATGGTAAATGTTCATGTGGAGACTACTGGTAGTGAAATACTGAAGGCAGTCTGAATATCCATTTTTGAGATCATATAGGAAAACTTCACTGGTATATGAATACAAGTATACGATTGGACTAACAGGTAAAGCTAGCTATTCTATCTGTTTCACACACATCATGTTTTGATTGGAGCATTCTCTATGTTGATTTCATGAGGAGTGTATACCATGTCTTTTTTATAGTCAGTGTAGCTACCCTTTGCATTGATGGTTCTTGGTTAAGCTAGTGAACTGTCCAGCAGTTCTTATGATCTCTTCACCATTTCAGGGAACCTACTGTAGAGTTACAGATTTCAGTCCATTTGGCTTTGTCCTTGATACATTTTAAAAGTTTTTTTTTTACTTCCATACAAAATAAGCCTTAAAACTTCCTCCATAAGTACACTTGTCTGACAATATATTCTGTTGTGGCACTTCAATATGGCAGTAGCATTAACACAAGAAATCCAGCAAATAAATATGCATCTTATAAATGTGGTTGTTCTCCATGTATTTGCAGTCACTCTCACAAATCATGAATGCTTCTATGGAGGAGATGGCTCGATGCCCAGGAATTGGTCAGCGGAAGGTACTGCAACGTGCACACATTGGTTATCCCTTTGACAGAAACTGCAAACTCCCTATTTTGAGTTTTTTTTCTTCTTCTACCGAACCCTGTTTCCCTGTTTAACATGTGTGTGTATTGTTTTAGGTAAAACGACTCTGATACCTTCCATGAGCCATTCAAACGGGTTTCTGCCCGCCCAAACCTTGTCGTACCGGATACCCCCAGACCGAGAGAAAGCAAAAGTCAACCTTCATCTACAGATGGCAGTTTGCAAGATGCGGTAGAAAAGCCAGATGCGGCAAAGAAGAAGAAAGGTTCTGATGTAAGGTCGGCCCTCACCGCTGCCTTTGCCAAGTATCCAGAGAAGATCCGCAGCCAGGGCCACGATGCAGCAAACGAGGCCGGTGAAGGTACTAGCAGCTCAACCATGGAAGTAGCAGTAGGACGTTGACGGTACTAGAGAAATGCTTGTTCGTGCCTTCCTGTTAGGTGCCTGTTGTTGTTGTTCCTGTAGAAATTTTCCCTATGCATGTTCCCCTCTTGTAACTGTTCACCCTCAGAAGCATGGAAAATGTTCTAGCACGTAACAAATCCTTTTGCCTCCTCTTGTGAGAAGAAATGACAAGGGCACGCAAAATTTTGTGCTCGAAAGATCTGTAGATGTCCGGGAGAATGTTAAAATCACTATAAAATCTTCAGAGCCTGGGGGGCAAGCTAAAACTCTAGTGAATGTTAAAATCACTATAAAATCTTCAGAGCCTGGGGAGCAAGCTAAAACTCTAGTGAGAAACAAAGAAGATGTCATTGTTGCTGTCCAGAGCAGTAAACAGAAAAAAAAACAGTAAGGCCGATCTCTCAAATCAATCTAATTAAGGTGGATCAGAGACACCACGCACCTACAAATTAAGATATATGGAGATTGGAATTTGGAAGACAAATGAAGTCATGAATTCTAACAATGAGGTGCAGTTACAATCAATTTTTTACCCATTTTTGAACAAGTATACCAAACAAAGGGTTGATTCATAAAAAAGAAGCTTGGTCACCTTTGAAGCAAGCTTATATGCTTATATAAAATAAAGGAGTTGCTGCTCCTATAGAGGCCATCAAGACAACATCTCTTATAATTGGTTTAATGAAAGTCCGATTGAAGAGAACAGCATGGCCGATTAGCCCTTAGACAAAAACAACCGATGATATCAACATCGTTGCTATCGTTGTCATGTGTTTTTAAATTCACATATGCTTCGCTCAAAAATACGAGGGCATATGTTAACAACCAAAATATGATCGGGAGAGTTGAAGATGGGACTAGAAAATCAAAGACAACAAAAGGATCAAATCTGGGCCAAACACACAAGTTTGTCAAAAGACCGGCCTGGTTTGGAGGCAGCAGGCAAAACTGGCCCAGGCCGGTTTCTCCAAAAAGAGTAGCCGTGTGCTATTCAAACCGGCCCAGGCTGGTTTCCAAAACTGGTTTGTCGGGGGAAACTTGTCGATTTCATATGGAATAGGTGTTCTAGTGGGTTAAGCCCAACACCCAAGACCAGGTTAAAAAAAAAAATACACCCAAGACAGAGAAAGATCACTTCAAGACCAGGCGTAGGCGGCCATCGCGCGCGAAGCGAAAACCATTCCCGCTCAAGACGCGGTGTCCGGTGGCGCTCTCCCGTCTCTTCTCTTGGACCCTCCCTTCCCGTTTCCCGCCCTCGCTCCTCCTGAGCTAGGGTTTCATGGATCCGGCCACCGCCGCGGCCTCCGCCGACGGGGGCGCATTCCTGGAGTTCGTCGACTATGCCATCTCCATGCTCTCCTCGTCCGCCGGCGACGGCGACGACTACGAGTCTCCGGGGGACGGGCCGGCGCCGGCGCGGCCGCCCTGGGGGTGGGCGGTGGCGCAGCTGCTCAAGTCCTGCTGCGCCTACTCCAGCGGCGTCACCGCCGCCATCCTTCTCTCCGACCTCTTCCAGGTTAGGTTGATTCGACTCGCTGCGTGGTAGTAATTGGGTTGATTTTTGTTTCTACCGAGTCCATGCTACACGTCTCAATATTCTTACATTTCCGTAAGCTGATGCGGGCATTTGTTTATGCTTTGTACTCGGCTCGAATTTGAAGCAAATGTCAATGCCACGAAGGAGTTTTAAGCTAATAGCCTAATCTAGTCTCTACAAAAATTTGTACAACAAAGGCAATTTGAACCTTTTTTTTTTTGCTTATTACCATATCTTTTTTTTTGTACAGCCGACAGTAGGATTAAATCTTAGCTTCTCTTGTTAGTCTTGGACAGAACAGCGAAAATCCCTGACCTCGAAGAGGAAGGTCGAGCTGGCCAAACTTATGAACACGAAGAATAAGAGGAGGCGGCTTCCAAATACTGTTACAATCGATTCTATCCATGAGAAAAACTTCCTTTCTCCCAACAGTGTCCTTGAAGCTGTTGTCATTGACGTGTTTGTCCTTCCTGGTATGCTTGTTCACTTACACCATACTTCTATGCTATGAACAAGAAGCTATAGTTGTTAGTAACTTTCCTGGTTAGTTGAGTGATGCAGCATCGTAGGGTTCTCTCTGTTAAAACCATATGACTGCCACACGTAATTTCCGAATTTCTACTCATTGGTGCAGCAATACATCAAATAGAATTAATGGTATCCTTCAAAAAATAGAACTAATGGTCAAACCTGCTTACAATTTTAGCTCACTTTTTGATACATGACTGTCAACTTGCTTTTCTCCACATCATCCTTAGTCATGTGTCATTCTTCTCTAGGTACAAACATATACATGCTTACCTTGGGAGACATGTGGAGTGCATCCACAATCGACCTATATTTACACCGAAGGTAGAGCTGACTACATATTGCTTAGTTTATATTTGTTTAACTGGTGTATGCCAGTAAAGAATTCGTCAGCAAATTTGGATGGAAACCTATGTATGCAAGGAATTCTGCAATGCTAACTATGGTTATTAGAAATTATTGTTGAACTTTGAACACTCTGAATCATTCATCGCCCTGAAATGTGTATAATATGTAAATTTTATAGTTGTAGGATAACACAGATCTTTCTGATTTACAAAAGTTAGATTATTGATCCATCACCCCAAATAGTGCGTGCTATCGCGCCCCCTCCCCATGCTCAGTCAGTAACTTAGCATTGTCAGTAATTTATCTTTTGGAGTGCAGTTCATCGATAGAGCATTCTTTTTTATTTCGTTTTATTGTATTACTCTTGGTATTTGGAATACTTATACAAATTTTGTATCAGGTACTATGACTGCATAGGACAAAATGGTATATTGAAGAAGGGTCGAGAAGTTATGCTCACAGGATGTTGTCTTCGTACAGCCATGGAGGGATCTGGCCATGCTCGTATTTTGCCAACAGAATACATGGTGATATTATTGGATGAGGTAATGGTTCATTGTATTTATGTGTATGAGGCAGCACTGCTCAGAGCACATAATTTACTTGCAATTTATTACTTTTTAGGTAAAGTTCCTTTGTATAAGTTGCACATTCAGTTGGCACAAAGTCACAATGACTTTTCATACCACAACAATTGGCTAGGAACTTAAATATTTTGATAAAAATGTCAAAATCATTTTGTGTCTATTTTTCTCGCTGCAAATTGTAAAACCCTTGCTTCTTTCATGAATTCAGGCTTGCAATATTGTACTCGTTTCTTTTGGCTTAGAAAAAAAATACTGTATGTGCTTCTAGTCAAATAATTTCAGCTTTAGCTATTAGAGATTAAATTGGGCAAACTGCTGCTTAGTAAAATTTGTTTTTTAGTTCACACACGTTTTATTTGTGCAGGACCAAGATGAAGATGCCTTGATACTTGCTGCACAGTTTTGCACCTATTCATTCTCTTCTATGATTCTAGAGGAAAGTAGAAACAATGTTCCATACTCATTTTATGCCAGGTAAAGTGATATTTATGGGTTGTTATACTTACAAGCATAATTATTATTCTCAGTTTTAGTTTTAGTTTCTACATTTTTAGTTTTAGTTTCTACAAAATTTGCAATTAGTTTCTTCATTTTCTGTGCTCTCAGATTTACAAAATCTGGACACAATCATTTTCTTTTGATTTTTTAAATATTTGTCTGCTGAAGGGCGGGCGGGCCTGGTGCAAGCGGTAGAGTCTTACCGCCTGTGACCGGAAGGTCCCGGGTTCGAGTCGCGGTCTTCTCGCATTGCACAGGCGAGGGTAAGGCTTGCCACTGACACCCTTCCCCAGACCCCGCACAGAGCGGGAGCTCTCTGCACTGGGTACGCCCTTTTAAATATTTGTCTAGTAAAATATATGGAGACACGGTCACTATGGTAGTATGGTTTGCTGATAAACATGAGGGAATCGAGGGTTTACTACTTACTAGTCTACTACTTTGTCGCACAGAGTTTCAAAACACTTCACCTTTTTTTTTTCTCTTTTGCAGGATTGAAAAGATTGAGTCGTTGGAACCATTTAGATGTACAGAAAGAATGCAGGTCATTCTTGAAGACAATGATGATGCAAAGATGAAGTTAGTTTTATGGGGAGAGCAGACTTTACTTGCAAATCTGTTCAGGTTCATTCCACTGATCCACTCTATATAAGAACTAAGGACCAAATATTTATTCAGACTACAATAAGCTAAACATATTATTTCAGTGTAGGGAGCATGCTTGCACTGGACAGACCTTTCATAGCAAATTTTATAGACAATAATCATGAGGAGTCTCAGGAACTGTGCCTTGAATATGGCAGTGCAACACAGGTTTACATGGTGCCAATTGCTCAACAAGAGGAACAGGTTTGTAGGGATATCTTCATAGTTCTTTCTGCAGAACTCCATTTTACTAATATGTAACGTGTGTGCTAGGTGCCTTTTACACCTACTACTCAAGTAAAGAGCCAAGGACCTCGTCTGTCATGTGTTCTGACGGATAATGTAGCTTCGCAAGTAACATTACCACGTGATTTGCATGGTTCAATTGATTTCAGCAAATACCCATTTCGAGTATGTAACTTACCTTCATTCATTAGGGTCTTCTCAGAAGATAGATTTTGCAACCATGATGATGTTTGGAACCTGAATACTTACCACTTTAGCCTTCAACAACTGATTCTGCTGATCCTTAAATCTCAGTTCACTACTGATCTATATTGGTCTGCTTGTGATACTATCATGTTTAGCTAAACATACTGCTTAGTTTACCAGTGTAAAAACTGAAAGCATTGATCTCTTATTAGCTATTACGTCTCATAATATGACCAGTCTGGGGTAGTTCTTCTCAATAAATATTGTGCTTTTATTCCACCAACTTTCTGCTTAATCACTAAGCGGTGGGTGTCCATTTGCTTACTGCTTACACTTTTTAGAACATTGGTTCCAAAAGTTCCTTAGCATGCACATGCAGATATTACCCTACCATCAGTATTACTGTTTCCCTTTTTATTCTCTTCATAAGTAGAAACATACTTCTTGAGAGGAACACCTGATGTTTCATGCTTTCTGTCATTGTTTTCTGTTTCTCAAATTTCTAACGATCATGTTTTCTTCATGTTTTTGTATAACATGCCTATTTTTTAGGCATATGTAAGTGACCTTCATGATAAAATGGTGGGAATCAGTCTGTTTGGTATCGTAACTAGTGTTTGCAAAGTAAGCACATCAGGGACTACATTCTATTTGGAGTTAGAAGACACAACAGGAGTTGTTCTGATGAAGCTTATCTTTATTGGACCCTGGTACCGCCTTTTGTACTTAAGCGATAGCCTATCTATTTATTTTCTCGGCCATGCATTCCTTTCTCTGAAATCGCATGCTTGTTTGACTGATAAATCAAATGTATCATTATTTCTGTTTGTCATGCTAAATCGAATGTGCCTTATGTGCAAGAACCTTTTATTTTGCAATGGTTAGGTTGACATGCATCAGCAGTTTGGCTGAGTTAAGTGCGAGATCTTAGATTCCTGATGCTGGTCACCACATTGTTCTCACTTAGGCACTGACAGTATCAAACTGCTTGTGCATCTGTGTTATCAGTATGGTATAATGATTGAAAGAAAAGCTATCCAGTCTTTGCCTTTCTAAAAATTGCTTGTTTAAGAGTTTTACATATGAAATCAATTTGATTTACAACAAAACGAGTGATTCCCCTCTGTTGCCTGGGCACATGCACTGATGTTATGAGGTCATAAATTCATTATACATTAAAACGTTTGTCACTGGACCTGTTGTGTGGGCTGAGTGCTCTGGCTTTTGATATCTAAAGCAAAAAATCTGTAGTAATTTTAATATCTTTAGGATGACATGTCTTTGTAATAATAACTAGCAGCTAATAACTTGATATCTGATGGCTGATGCTATATTTTGCTACATCCATCTGACAGGCTGTTGCTCTTGATCTTTCAGTAAAGTATGAGGCTTTTCACCTCAATAATAAGCATTATGTTGTCTTTGCTATTCCAGATTCCATCATTCCTGCCCACCATTCTTCACATATCTGTTATTTTGACATATTGTTGCTTCCTATGCCAATTGAACTGTTTATGTCCATCATGCACCTGAATTCCATAACAGTATATAAATGTCTCTTACTCTGCAGGTCATTAGGTAGAGTAGGAGCTGGGCATATGGTGTACATCTCCGGTTTGACTTGCGCCTTGAGTTCAAATACGTAAGAAGCATTTTCCTTTATATTAACATTTACTATCTATATGGTACTATGTGGGCAAAGTTCTGATTGCTGGCTATCTTATGGTTAATAGCCTTGAAGTCTCATGGCGTGAAAAGGAGCAAGGGTCTCAATTTGTTAACTTAAGCTTGCTGCCAGCACTCCTGAACTCAACGTGCCTGCATAATTTATCACCCTTGTCAGATCTTCCCCGTTCGACAAACAGAACACATGTAAGTCTTCTTTATTACTGCCGTGAGGTTGCTTCCAGACCTTTTCAAGTTTAGTTGAATTGGCATTTTGCTAAAACTATTGATACCATTCTAGAAAACGACTACCAGATCACCTTTAACATGCTCCCCATACGGAAAAGACTAAAAATATATTAAAAGGGCTAAAAACAGTCACAGATTATGTTTATTTCTGTTCAGAACTCCATTGCATTCTTCAACTGTGACTTCAAGAGTGACCAAATTGTTTTCTGATGCTAACATCCTTTATTTGTTTGACGCCTTTTGATGTTCAGATATCCCATGTTCGGTTAGATCGCATTGATTGTGACAGTTTAAAGGTGTCACTGTTCCATAGCATTTGCGGCAGCGTTGTGAATGAACATTCAGGTGGACACCAGTGTTCATTTTGTAAGTGTGCCTGCGAAAGTGCATGTGCGCATGGCTTTCAGCTGCACTTGACCATCGCAGACGACAGTGCAGAGGTCTTAGCTTGGTGTGTTGGGCAAACAGCTGTCGAGTTCCTTCAGATATCTCCTGATGAATATCTGGAGCTCCCCGAGGTATGACCTAAGAAAAATATGCAGCACATAACAAAACATTGTCTTTTGAACTTGCCATGGCAAACAAGCTTCCACCATTAGCATGCGTACGGTTGCATGATGGAAACGCATTACTCTCTGCTCTGATTGAAATTTCGTGATGATAAAATGATCAGGATGAACGGGCAATGTATCTCTACACTCTCCAGAATGAGAGCTTCGCGGTGGCTATTGCGAATACCAGGAAGCGAGCCGATGGATGTGTTGTGGGTGATGAAGCTGTCCCAGCTTGGGAGATCACGAGAGCCCAGAAATGCGAATGAGTCCATTTAGCACTTGAGAAAGAAATGCTGATGCTGAAAACTTACTGTATTACATGTGTTTCAACCTTTGGTTTTCAAAGGTGCCGTCATCAATTCATCATTCAGCAATGCTGCTTAAGTGAGCTTAAGCACGATAGATAAGATGGGTTCTTCATTGACAAATTGTTAAATTCCGAGAGTAAGACGTCGAGGAAGGCCTAGCGTTTGGATGCGGGCATCAGCATGCGTAGGTTCCTGTGGCACCGTAGTTCTACTACTACACTACAGGAAGCTGCCGCTCTTCATGGTGAGTGACAGCTTTGCTTGGCAATGCAGCCAGAGCCAGCCGAGTTCAGATTTCTCTGAAACGGTGCCTTATATTATATCTTGGGAGTTGTACCCAGCAAACAACACCGTGCCTGGTACGTCTGGTCAAAGAAAACAAACGATGATGGTGAATCATGAGTTTATTTTAAAAATTTGATAGAATGACTCTTACTCAGATCGTGAGGAATGAAGTGACGAATTTACATGTTCCATTCCGCAAAACAAAAACAAAAAAAACATAGAGTGATGAGATGGACTAATTTTATGTCTTCAAACCAAACAGCCTAACGTTTTCTTGGCACAGCGGTTTTCTGAATTTCAGATACAATTTCGGAATTTCCTTTTGTTTTCGATTGCTGAGCCCTGAGCTCCTCAGCCTACGCAACCGCGAGTAAAATATATAGGTTGATGACTTTGAAATTACATGTGACAGATTGACGAGGATAGGGTATCGAGTTGATTTACTCCCACTTACGCAGTCAATCAATATACAAAGTGCATAAATAAACTTTTGTGTTTGCGATGATACGATGCGCATGGTGTTGGGCTGTGCTTCTGTCCACGTGTGCCGCACTTGGCATTGCCTAATCGAACGGATTAATTTATAGTGGCTCTAAAGATGCGACGCGTCTTCACGCCATAGCCAACTGGATTAGGATGGCGTGGCGTCGGAAGTTAAGGCGCAGCTTTCGCTTCTTTGCAAAGCTCGAAAAGCAGGAAGCGCTCTCTCTTTTTTTTTTTTCTCCACTAGCTAATGGCCGGTGCGTTGCTACGGGAAACAAACATACAAATCCAATTCATTCATATGAATAATAAATGAGTAACATCTCAAAAAAATTCAAGCAAGTAACAAAAGAAAACTCATATATTCATTGCTAATGATTTTGAAAAGATGTAGATGAATAGAGCGTGCTCACGGGAAAAAACCATTTTACAATTAGGAAAAAATCCAAATTATTCCCCTCAAGTTTGACATATGTCCATATTACCCTCTAAACTTATATTTAGTTCAATTTACTCCCTCCAACTATTTCAACTGATCTAGTTTACCCCTTAACATGATTTGTTATTTTTGTTTTTCCACGTATTAGTTGAGTCTTATATCAACTTTTGTGATATGATAGAGAACATCATAAGTTATGTTAAAAAAATATATCTTAACTTTTTACCACTATTTTGATAACTTAGGAAATTTAATAATAAATTAACACTAGAGATACAATATCGTATAAAACATAATGATGAAAAATTCATAGTGCATTTTTCTAACACAAAATACAATGTCCTCTATCACCTCACAAAATTTGAAACTAAAATATAATTTGTACATAGAGAAACAAAAAAGAAAAATCTCTTTAAGGTGTTGGCCGGACCAACTTAAATAGTTGGAGGGAGTAAATTGAACCAAATGTTAGTTTAGGGGGTTATTTGACATAGGCCAAATTTGGAGGGAGTAATATGGACTTTTTCCTTACAATTACAACTTCTTTATTGTCAACAAACAATTTTAAGATCGCTGATTGCAAAGATGCACATAGGCTGCTTTGATGACCTCCGCCAGCACATGCCACCTGCACCTCCTGTTCTTATTCCTGGCTGTTGCAGCAATTGCAAAACATAACCCTACAATTATTGCAAAAATCCTTCAAAGTAGTAAGCTACAATTGTTAGTCAAATTTGATCATACAACTTAGCTAGGAGTTGGCAAATGGTGGCATGGACACAATATCACCGAGCTGTCGCTAGGCCTGATCTCACTTACAGCACATTAGTCACCTAAAGCAATTCAATCAGGGAAAAATAAAACAATAAAGGCAATATAGGAAACAACCAGAAAAAAAAACTATCAACAATTTTCCATTCCCTAATACATGGACGATAATTAAGTTTTCACTTGATTTTTTCTTTTCAAAATGAGAAGTTATTTTATTTCCCTTGACAAACAAAATATTGGCATCACAACACATTCATCATTAGTTCATTCATGGAGGGAAAAAAGCTCCAGGCCTCAACACTGTCAGACTGTCCTAAAGACACTTAGTAGTTTGATTGATTGGAAACTGCTGCTTAACAAAAGGAAAACCTCATGAGACCTTGGATGGAGCAAAAAAAAGAAAAACATGTATTGATGGGATACCAACAATAATTTTGTCTCCGAATGTAAACTGTAGGCTACTGTCCTTGATCAGAGTATTCACATCAAAGCTTGTTTTTTGTCTAAAAAACAACTGTTTACTGAAGAAAGCGATACATATATTGCATTATTATATGAAATAGTTCTTATAGAGGTCTGAAGGAAAAAGGAAAGGCTGACCTTTCTAAATCAACTCTGCAAAGCTGATGGTGCTGCCCAACCTCTCTAAATCAATTGAAAGGCAGCACTCTTGATCGTGGGGGCACAAATGGCTCACCGATGAAGGTTGTGATAGCGCCTTGAAGCCGCCCATCTCAACCTGAAAAGCACCAATGTAGACCAGGAAAAAGAAAATCAACTCATTAGGCATTTAGAGGAAAGGAGTTTCCACACAAGCAACTGCTATAACTCAGCTCCACAGACGCTCCTTGACAAATTCCTAGATGAAATACAGGTTATGAACCACAAGGCTGCTCTTTCCATGCTTTCCAAACAGCATGGTCGACAGCCATGGCTGCTGGCTCATAAGCTCAGTCTGAATAACATTCACTTTAAACTTGTTCTTTCAAACAGCAACAATTTAGTTTTGTCGTAAGCTGCAGCCAAGTGCTGGTCAACCAGACATGTTCATTGTCACCTGAAACCAAAAACAGACACACTGATGAGGAAGTAAAAGCATGCCAGCAAGGACATTACAGCTTTGATTTCTTTGAAGGTAATTTGCCCATGACTGGAGTAGACTATTGACCACCCAATGCAAGTAAGCTCATCAACGAAAACTTAACCAAAGATCAATTAATAGAGGCACCTAGGAAATGGATATTGAATTATTCATCATATTCTTTATAAATAGAATCATAAATAACTGCACAAATAAAAATGTCAGATGAGAGATCCCGATGATACATCAGTCTATAGAACTTAGAATAAACAATATTCTGAAATGTGTGTTTTTTAACGTATAGCAGATAGCAACAGCATGATAACTTGCTACACTTACCTTTCAGGTTACAACTGTCTGATGAATGGTTGATCATCATGTTATCCAAATTGTGTCTGGAGTTACTGAATTTCTTGATGTCCTAAACTCCTAATATTGTCTGAAAAAGAATACTCAATGCTTTAGGAGCTTCTTCGATTTGGCCAGCTTACATTGCGTAGTTCAATCTAGAATGCAAATGCTACTGTGCACCCGATGATCTAAACAAACTGTGAATACTAAAGAGAGTTTGGCAGTATGCTTACAATTTTGTCAATGAAGTGCACCTCTCTTGGACCCCTATCAGTAGAAGAAACCCACACCTGCAGAACTGCAGGCCGACATGGCTCTCGTGGACCTCTGTGGCAAGGGCGATCTTACCAGAGCCATGGATCCCGATAACGGAGATCAACTGCTGAACAAGCTCGTCCCTGGGATCGTCGATGCCGACAATATCGGCATTTAGGGTGTACGGAACAGATTCAGATGAACAGGAAGACCGTCACGTACCCGTGCGGCTACGCCGAGACTGGAGCAGGGTCGCCATGACCGCGTTGCCGCAGGGGGAGAAGCCAGAGTTGCCCTGCACCCACGGAGCGCCACCGCCACGCCATTGCCGACCGCCTATGTCATGGTGTCCCGCCAGGCTATGGCCTCGCAGGCCCTCCGCGCTATGGTGGGATACTGGCGTCGTGTTCTGTCCGGCCCCGCGCGCCGCCCGCCGGGAGGAGACGCCAAAGTCACCGGGGAGCTCGGATCGACCGACCTGACCTGTGCATGAGACGGCGCCAGAGGAACCGGAGCGGGAGAGGCAAGCGGAGCCGGACCCAGAGTCGGGGCGAGTGTGGGCAGCGAGGCCTCCACAGGCTGCTGGCGCTGCAGCAGGGACGCGGCGCGTGGCGCGTGGAGGCGACGACGACGAGCTCGACGGCGTCAGGGGAGCGGGGCAGGGAGGCGTCAGCGCCGATAGGGAGCTTTTCCACGCGAGGAGAGGGCATGGGCCCACATGTCGGCGCCAAAAAAAATCGCAGAGGAGGCGTTAGGCGCTGCGACTTCACCACGGGAGCGAACGGGTCCGGTTTGGTTTGCGCGTCTTTATATTAAATATAATGAAAAAAATTAATACAACACGTCTTAACGACGTTCTAACGTGTTAGAAAAGTTATACATGACGTTCGGACCTTCCCTAGTGTATTAAAAATTATAGTGTTACATTGGACACTGATCAACCCTAATTACGGTGCCGGCTAAGAGGCCTATGCCCGGGCTACCGAGCGGCAACGGCGCTGCTTGCGCGGACCCACGTCGCCATCCTGTGGGAACAACTCACGTAGCATCCGCGTATTACCTGGGTCACCACTGAAGATTTCTTCGTACGCCTTCAGGGTCGACGTCGACGGAGACGATATCTCGATGGTTAGTTCTAGGTGCTTCAAGATAAGGTGCTCACCTCGCTTTGACGCTGGGATATGTGATATGCACTGCGCCGCTATCCGCTTGCTTCTCTTGGGGAGCACGGGCGGTGTACGTCCGCCGTAGGCCGTATCATCTCCTGGTAGCTCCAGGAGTGGCGACTGCCTCGCATTTGTGATTCGCTCGATGAAACGCTTGAGGCGTCTATCGTTAGAGGTCATATGAGGGGACAGAGTGCGGTTGATGATGTCCATGGCAGCCACGACCGTCGTGTTTCCCGTGGTGGCTGCCTCGACTAGCGCTGGGTCAGGGTGCGCCTAGACATCCATGACGCCAAGCCCCCTCCCCCGGTGGTGGCCCCTGCATAGGCAACAACAGAGGCGAGTCCATTGTCCACTGGGCAGCCTCTGCCGAAGAGCAGGCGACCACCCAGGATGCGTCCGCTTCCTGAGCGGCTGCCACAAAAGTCAGCGGGGCGCTCAATCACTGCTCCTGTTGAGCGACTAACGACGAGCAAGACGGCGAGCTTAGGGTCGATCCCTCACGCACAGAAAGCTGGGAGCTTTCCTAAACTGGGTAGCTTTTTCAAGGTGACAAAAGCTTTAAAAGCCACACTTCGTGCTAAAAAGTACTCAATCCATCATAAATTATAAGACGTTTAATTTTTTTGACACTAAGTTTGACCACTGGTTTTATTCAAAATTGTGTGCAAAATATCACTTCTTTTGTTATGGCTTGGTTTATTAATAAACGTTCTTCAAGAATGACCTAAATTTAACTATATTTACATAAATTTTTTGAATAAGACGAGTGGTTAAACTTGATGCCAAAAGAGTCAAACGATTTTGGATGGAGGGAGTAGAAAAGCTCTCTCAGAATAGTCTTCCGAGCTTTTCCACGCAGCTTTTCTAGGAAGTACTTTTGAAAAATGCTACGGCTCTGGAGCTCCCCAAATAGATAGCTTCACCAGGAAGTACTTTTGAAAAGAGCTATAGCTCCCCAATCAGACCTAACACTTGTGTAGAGCCTGGATTCTTGTAGGTGCTCTTAAACTTCTTTGCGCCAATTTAAATGTGTACTTCTTTAAATTAATTTATAGAAAATGTTATTCACACTTATGGCTTTAAATAAATATATTATCAAATGTGTTCCATAATTAACCTAATAATAACCGCTATCATAAATACTAGTAATCTTTTTTATGTAAATTTAGTTAAATATAAAGCTATATGATTTCTCAAAAACAAGAGTTACATTCGCTACATAGGGAGTACTCCATCCGTTTTAAATTATAATTCGTTTGACTTTTTTGACTAAATATTTGACCACTCGTCTTATTCAGAATTTTGTGTAAAATATCATTTCTTTTGATGTGACTTGCTTTATTAATAAAAGTTCTTTATGACTTAAATTTATGTATATTTGCACATATTTTTTGAATAAAACGAGTGATTAAACTTTCAGTAAAAAAAGTAAAACAAACTATAATTTGTAACTGAAGTAGTACAATATAACATTATACTCCATCCTTAGAGTTGTTCTCAGTTAAATTATTTGAAATTTATAGAAATGAGCATCAATACTTATGACATCAAATTAATATAACTATATATTATGAATGTACTTTTATCATTTGGTTTCTTAAGTGTTCCTACTCTTCACTATAAAGTTGGTCAAATTATTATTGATTTATTTTGGGACCGAAGGATAAATCATAATCACCAGTTAATTAATAGACAGACCTTATCCTGGCATCCGATCCGATCCTGATCCAAGTGCCACGCCCGCATCCGTGCCACGTGGATTCCAGAACGCACGGGCGGTGGCACTGACAGGTTGGCCCTATCCGACTAGGAGACAAGAGGCTACAGCTCATCAGCACGGGATCTCCCGACGGATACAAAGGGGTATAGCCCAGAAAGAGAGAAGGTTCCACAAGTCAATCGCAACCACGACGAGTCATCACGCCATACAACACGGACAGCGACGAGACGCCGCCGCCGCAGGCGAAGCCGGTGCGCAGCGCGAGAGTAGCGGCGAGTCGGCCGCGAGAGTGACGGCAAGGACATGGCCACCTTACCCGGCAGCTCCCCGCCGAGGCGGCGGAGCTCGTGCCGACGCTCTCTTCGCTGGAGCCGGTCTACGCCGCGGGCGCGCAGCTCGACGAGGCGCGCCTCCGCTTCTCCCGCCTCGGGGACCGCTTCCACGCCGTCTACGGCGCCCGCCCCGCGCTCTTCGCCCGCTCCCCAGGTCCGTCCGTCCCCGTCCCTGGACTGCGCGTGCGCGTGTGTGCTTCAGAGCGGTTGAGGCTGAGACTGAGACTGGCCGCGCCGCGGGCTGGCTGGCTGTTGCTGCAGGGAGGGTGAATCTGATCGGGGAGCACATCGACTACGAGGGGTACTCGGTGCTGCCCATGGCCATCCGCCAGGACATGATCGTCGCCATCCGTAGGGCCGAAGGCGGCCAGGTGCGGGTCGCCAATGTCGACGACAAGTTCCCCCTCTGCGTCTACCCTGCCGACCCGGACAAGGTACCAATGCCCTGCTATGCTGCCTGCTCTATCCATTTAGATAGATTGGTAATACAGTTTTTGGGCGGTGTTGATCCGATCGGGGCTTCATTTCGACGGTGATTTGGGGGAAAACATGATGCTGTCACGGGGAATTTTTAGGCGCGATTCTCCGGCCGTGCTCCAACTAATCTGCGTTAATTTAATTTACTCGTGGAGGGGGGAGGTACGGCACGAGGATCTCGTCTCGTTCCTACCATTGGAGCGCGGCGGCGGTTGCATTACTTCCGATTAATTAGCATATCGCAACAAAAAGCCCGTGACGTGGGGCAGGTCCGTTACCTTACCCATGAACTTGATAACCTGTGGTCCTCAGGTGGGTCACGGAACTGACCTGCTTTGGACCTGAAGGTCCTTCCCTGCTACATCAGCGCAGTGGGAGCAGTTGACTAGTAGGATAGTTTCAGCTACCCGATGGCACTAACAGTGAACTTGTAAATGCTGCTAGTAGTTGCTAGTAGTTTCTTGGTCGTGATGCAGCCAATGTATACCTTGTGCTAAAGAAATTCTTGTGTCAGGTATAGATTTCCAATTACTTCGTGTTGATAGTAGTACCAGCTCTGCTTGCTGCGCAAAAATATGTTCGTATTTGTTTGCCTGGTCTTAACAACATTAAGTGTTTTGTTTCTGGTGTAGGAAATTGACATAAAAAATCACAAATGGGGGCACTATTTCATGTGTGGGTAAGTTACAATTTTGAATTCTTGCTGCAGAAACCTGGATATTGAAGTATTTTGTTCCCAATTATTTTTGTTGTAGAAAATGAGTATATCAGTATGTGATATGCTTGTATCCACTTGATTTGCAATCTGCAGATACAAGGGAGTTTACGAGTACTGTAGATCAAAAGGGATAGATCTGGGCAAACCTGTTGCACTTGATGTTGTTGTTGATGGCACAGTTCCTCAAGGTTCGATTCAGTTCTTTAGTTGTACAAATCTTTCCTTCTGTTCAAATGACATGTTTTATAAAGGTTTGCTGCTGTTATTTCTCTTATTAGGCTCTGGATTGTCAAGCTCAGCGGCGTTTGTCTGTTCAGCAACAATTGCTATCATGGGAGTCCTTGAGAAAAACTTTCCAAAGGTATTACTTTAATGCAATTAATTTTGTAAAGCGCTAATATGTCGCACAATTGGCAAGAAACAAGTGCCTTTTTGCCTTTATGTCAAATGGAGATATAAGTGGCAGATGCAGCAGAAGTAAACACCCTGCTTGTTAATGGCTGTACAAATTGGATAGCCAAAGTAGATGGTGGTTGCTGATTATGCTGATGCATTGTTTCTGGCATTGACTATATTGGTGATCAGATGAATTTTCACCCATTTATATTCTTTTTACGTGTGTTTAGCACAGCAAACTTCCAGTGGTCAATTCCTATTTATATTACTTATTATATTCAAACCATGCAGAAAGAAGTTGCTCAATTCACTTGTCTGTCTGAGCGCCACATTGGAACACAGTCTGGAGGCATGGATCAGGTAATACAATCCAGGAATTTCTTGTTGAGATTTGTGGGGTGTTTCTTATCTTTTTTGTAAGTAATGTCAGTTGCTAAAGTAAATTAAAATGCTTTGCTTAACTCAATTGATCTTGTTCCCATTTAACATTTCATTGTATTTTTGTAGGCTATATCTATCATGGCCAAACCTGGATTCGCTGAGTTGATAGATTTTAATCCAATTCATGCAACTGATGTCCGACTACCTCCAGGTGGTACATTTGTGATCGCCCATTGTTTGGCAGAGTCCAAGAAAGCAGAGACTGCTGCAACAAATTATAATAACCGTGTTGTGGAGTGTCGCTTAGCAGCGGTAAATGACAAATTATTTTTATTATGGGCTTGCTTCTAAAGTATTTTCAATCTCATGCTCCTTTTTAGTACTGTATTGTGACAGTACACCTATTGCACCAAAACAAATGACTAATATCTTAATAACACTCAAGTATTATCAGTTGTTTTTTTATAAAAGGAAATGAAAGAAGTAACATTGTAGCTTACGTAATTCAGATTTTAAGGAAATATCACTGTTTTATGTTGTATCTGGGCTAGAGCATGGTACTGGTTATACAGGTAGAAGGTTTCCTCGTCATTTCTGTTTGTTGAGCTAATAGCTTTCCCTTGCACTTTTCAGATTGTTCTTGCCATCAAACTAGGGATGGATACGAAAAAAGCTGTCTCCTCTGTTACAACCCTCTCCGACGTTGAGGGTCTATGCGTTTCTTTTGCTGGGAAAGAAGGTTCATCTGATCCTGCAATAGCTGTGAAGGTGCACGACTTTTAACATGACTTTAGACTATTGGCAAGAGAAATATGCTTATGACTGAAGAATTGCCCGCCCCATCTTCATTGTTTGTTCTTGAAGAGAGATTCACAGTGCTAGGTTGTTGTCTTTTTACAATTTTATTTAGCATTTGGTTCTGCCATTTCATCCAATTTATTTATTTCTTGAGAACACATACGCGGACTGTGCATAATCACATTAAGAAAGAAATAAAAGATGACACTGTACCCAAATCACAAAGGCCAAACAACCAATACTAAGCCCTTGCCTTGCTGAGCCACTGGGTGGTCTGCCAGCTTGGAACCTTTTAGTTCCCTTTTCTGCATCTTCTTATTCTTCCCTGAGTAGGCAGATTAATTTCAGTTTGAGTGGCCAATTTTTTTTCAACAGTCTCTTTTATAGACTTTCTTTTTTACAGTTTTGAACTTTTGATACTTTGTGATGTTACTCAGTAGGATGGTTTATCTTTTTGATGTTGGGAAAGGATAATTTGATTTTTTGATGTCTGAAAAAAGATCAATGCTGTGCAAGATGGAGTAGCAAGGATATTTTTTTTAAGCCATACAGTTTTCCTCATATTGCTGTGCAATATTGCAGAAACTTTTGCATGAGGATCCATATACAGCTGAAGAAATAGAGAAAATTACAGGTGAAAGCCTGACAGCTGTCTTCCAGAGCTCTCAAACTTCCTTGGATGTTATAAAAGCTGCAGAGCACTACAAGCTATTTCAGGTGGATCTCATGCGCTTATTATTATTTGTATTCTTGTAGCCATCCAAGTTGTGCTATTTCATGAAAACAACTGCATAGGGTCAGAGGACCTGTTTGCGAGTTTAGAACACTTTGAATAGAAGCTTGCTAGTTTCTTTTAACATAGATGCTACTTGAACTGTGTGGTGATGCTATTATTAATTTCAGCGTGCGACTCATGTCTACTCTGAAGCAAGGAGGGTTTATGCTTTCAGGGATACTGTCTCTTCAAAACTCAGGTGGGTTCACTATTTGTAATCTGCTTCTTCCCTAGGTTGTGTGTATCCTCACAGTACTTTGAAAATTGATCCTAAAAAATTGTGTTTTGTCATATGATACAGTCATTCTTCTGCTGACACATACTGTTGTCTCCGTGCAGTGAGGAAGATAAGCTTAAGAAACTTGGTGATCTTATGAATGAAAGCCATTACAGCTGCAGCGTGCTATACGAATGCAGGTATCTTTGCAGTACACTGATGGTAACAGTTCAAATTCGTTGTGGTGATTTTTCTGCCACAGGCTGTTTATATTAACTATCATCACAAGGCACTTGGCGTTGCTTTGCGAAACTTATGAACATACTGACATATTTCCCTATATATACCAGTTGCCCTGAGCTGGAGGAGCTTGTGAAAGTCTGTAGAGATAATGGAGCACTAGGAGCACGTCTCACAGGAGCTGGGTGGGGTGGCTGCGCGGTTGCTCTGGTCAAGGAGCCCATCGTCCCTCAGTTTATTCTGAATCTAAAGGCAAGTTCAATGTCTCATCTCTCATATTCTGACTGCTGCATCCAAAACTCTTGGTAGTAAGTGAGCTTGTGGCATTAGAAAGTTACAGACATATAAATTGTCCATAGTCTGGTCTGTTGTACCCCGATTTGTATGTGTAATCCTTGCCTAAAAACCGCCGCAAGGATCGCATGGCATGATGCGTCTGAGCTTACTTAGGGAGGCTGTCACTATCCTGTTTATAACTGCATAGTGTGATGGTGCATGCAGACACAGATTCTTCCATGACTTGGCTTTGGCTCTGAAGTCTGACAGCACTGATTTCTAATTTACACAGGAAATGTACTACAAATCAAGGATCGAGAGGGGAGTAATCCAGCAGGGCGATCTGGGCCTGTACGTGTTCGCATCGAAGCCGTCGAGCGGCGCGGCCATACTGACGTTGTAGGCAGGCAGAGGCAGCCGCCATTCTATCACGAGCCCGCTGTAAATTCGATGAACACCGAACTGTTGTAAAACATGTAGTATTAAATTATCTCAGGCAACACACGCATTAGGCCGCGGGCATGTTTGGATAAAGACCTGGACTGAAATGCCTGGATTGGACACCTGCCTGTAATCTTTCTGTAATTTATTTAGTTGACATCCTGAGAAATCTGCCTGCTACGAGTTGTTTGTGACAGTTGCCTGTGAGTAGGCGTAGGAAATCGACTGCCTGGGCTCCAATCCAACTTGCCTGGATCTAATCACCCTACAGGAAGCCACGTGAGAGACATCAACCAAACGCTGCCCCGTCCCTCTGTCTACTTCCAGAACGTCAACCAAACAAGATATGAAAAACAGACTTGCCTGACCAGGCAGTTTTGCTATTGGGTCACAGGCAGCTCAAAAGCCCAGGCAGCACGTCCAGGGTCCTATCCAAACATGCCATGCTTGCTTGAGTAGTATTTTGCACTGTTGCTCCTCTGGTCCGTATTCCAATTTACATGGCGCAACGTTGACATGGGTGATATTAACTCAAGCAGCTGAGACCTTTGCATGCATGCGAAATCGTTGGCCAGGCTCTGCATCAGGGGAGGGAGGCCGGCGCAGGTGAGCTAGCCGGCCCGTGTTAATTGCAGGAGTCGTTGGGTACTTGAGGTAAGGTAAACTCCCAGGGCGAGCGCAACGCACGATGCTGCTTTAAATCCTCTTCCTTGGTATTCTCATTTTTGTTGGTTCGCCTAATAAAATGGACCCGAGGAAGTATAGTAAAGTACACAACAGTTGAGTGGGGTTTCTAGGAATTCGAATTTGGTGCAGTTGTACTATGCTCCTGTATGACACGGCGACGAGCACCACAGCCCGCGTTATCAGTCCAGCGATCATGGTACAGTGCTTATCTCTTATAACATTACAGCATCAGCCGACTGATTTATCGATCGGAAAAAAAAAACTATCAGCCAAACAGCTCCACGTCGACGGTGAGCGATCGCCCAGCCCATGCCTGCTGTATGTGCGATGGACACTGGACCTGCGCCGCTGGTTCCGCGTTTACATTTGGCCAGTCGCCAGCCCAGCTCTGCCCAGGCCAGGTCTCTCCAAGTCCATCTTTTCCGAGGTGCTACAAGTCTACAACTCCGTTGACCATTTCACGCATCATTGTCCGATGCTTTGGACCATCTAAGCACATCGGAGTCGTACACCCCTAAAACCTTAGGCTTGGCTGTACTCCCTCCGTTTTTTTTAAGTGTCGTATTTGGTTAGGCTACACAGACCAAGGAGAAGATTTACTCCGCAGAACGCTTCGTACTCAGCGGCTCATTGGCTGCATGCAGGTTTTTATTGCAGCCAGGAAGAGGCCGGACTCCAGGAACGAAGCCAACGGTGCGAACCGGGGTGGATCAAGATAAACACGGATGCTGCGTTTTTTACGGAGAGCAAACAAGGGGCTACCTCATGTGTAATCAGAGATGAGCGGCGCTCTTTTCTAACAGGCCAAGCGACATGGCATGATAGAGCTTTTGATGCATGTTTTATGGAGGCAGCAGCCTGCAGAGATGGCCTGAAGCTAGCTGGGCGCCTTGGCTTCCAGCGAGTAAATTTGGAGACCGACTGTCTTCAATTTGTGCAGCTCTGGAGGAAGAGGGAGTCGCAACGATCACTCATTGATGCTATTTTGAAGGAGATTGATGAAGATTGTCTTGCCTTTCAGGAGGTTTCCTTTTCTTATGTTAATAGATCATGTAATAAAGTAGCACATGTTTGAGCTAAACAAGTTTTGGGTTCGCATCGATCCGAGACGTGGCATGTAACTCCGACGTGCGTGTGCGACTTGATCATGTTTGAGGCTTCGGCCAGCTGATAATGAAAGGGAAGAAAGTCACAAAAAAAATACAACACTTATTTCCGACATTTTTCCAAAACAACGGAGGGAGTAGCTGCTCCTAGGACTATTTAAACTCCTCCTTTCCTTCTAAACTAATTCAACTTTTAGAATTGTCCTAAATCAAACTATTTTATATTTAATCAAATTTTATAGCAAAAGAGCACGGTATCTATGACACCAAATTAATATAACTAGATATATAAAATACTTATTTGGTATCATAGATGTTACTATATCTTAATGTAGAGTTACTTATAAACCTAAGATAGTCTGACTTATGATAATTTTAAGATTTTCTTTTTCTACGTAGGGAGTACCAGCACAATAAAGTTGTACCATTAATACTTTGGCTTAGCTCTATCTACTCATAGTCTTGGACTACTTAACATCTAGGCTTTGCTCTAGCTACTACTAGCTTTAGACCATGTAAACTACGGGTAGTGTTCTACCGCTAACACCTTCGCTTGGCTCAGGCTACTCCTGACATAACGTACTCCCTTCATTCAGAAACAAGTCAAATGACAAGTGTATTTTAACAACAACAAAAAAGTCATATATGATAGATTTTGATTCTTAATTTCTTTAACAATGCATTATCAATTGCTAATATCATCTACATTAGAGGCATCATCTATGAATGTAAACCTACTGGTGCATGTTACGTATAAGTTTTAAACTTGCCTATAATTTGACTAATCGTCTATCAGACTTTGCAAAACTTTGACCTTTCATTTCTGTAGTCAAAATATACTTATTATTTCTGTACCATATATAATAACCAGGTTGGATTTCTCTTTTCCCGGCAGGAGCTCCGAAGAAAACGCGAGGCGCACCGCCGCCTCCCCGCTCACCCGCACGCGTCCGTGGCACGCGCCTCTCAAGATCTCGTCGTCGTCCTCGTCGCAATTTATGAAGCGCTACCGTGCAACCCCTGCGCGCGTACGACTGTACGAGACTAGCGTGCACGCCCACACGCGCGCGCGTGTTCAGACACCCTCACCATATGCGCGCGCCTCAGGTGGTTCCACGACTCTCTAACTGGCCGCGAACTCATTCTTCCTCTCTCGTTAATTAATGAATTATTAATCAATTATTATGACTTTTTATATGTATATATGAGTATATTTATTATATACTATAATGGAAATACGTATGTGCGATAGAGCTAATTTTGCGCCAGGGATTTGGATGTTTGCATGTGACATGATCCCAATAATTGTGAGTATGGCCAAATTTCCATCGGCATGCAGTCTGTCCTTTTCCTTTCTTTCTCCAGAAATGCTCCTTATAGAGAGTCCTTCAGTCTGGATGGACCACGCACTCACCCATGCTGCCCCCACTCGCGTCGCCCGCTCGCTCTGCTCGTGGGTAGACTCTGTCTCTGTCCTCGCCCGCTGCCGCCTGGCTCGCGCCTCGCCAGCGTCATGGCGCTCGTCTATCGCTGCCTCTATCCTCCCTTCGCTGCTCTATCCGAGGTCGGTGCCCCTCTACCGAACTCACTGATTTAACTCCACACCGGCAACCTACGCACCAGTGTTGAGCTCCACATCGACAAGCCTCCATTTGTCCAAGCATCGAGCAGATGCTACGCTAAAAGTGTATGTTACAATAGTATGTTTCAAGAGTTTTAAATATTTTCAAGGTATGTTTCAAGTGTTGTATATCGATGTTGCAAAAGTAAATCGTGATGTTACACATGTTGTAATGGCTATACACTTATGTTTCAAGTGTATGTTCCAAATATTTTATCTGTTCTAAACGAATGTTGCAAGTGTTTTGTCTGGATGTTGCAAAAGTAGATCTAGATGTTGCATATACATACATGTTGCAATCATATGTTTCAAGTGTTTTCAGGTGTTTCGTACATATGTTTGCAAGTGTTTTATCTGTATGTTGCATATATTTGCAATTGTTTTTAAATGTTTTTGTCATTTTCACATGTGTTTCAAACGTTTGTTTCAAGTGCTTCATATGTCTTTTTTTATATGTTGCATCTGGATGTTTTCAAAAGTAGATCGAGTGTTGCATATTAGATGTGCGTGGAAAGAGACCGGCACCGCGGGACCACTATTGGTGCGCTCCCTCACGAGCCGACGCGCTGGCGCCCTGTGCAGGCAGCTTAGCAAGTCCGTTCTTTCATTCTATCTTTTGAACGATGGGAATTCCATTAGATCGGCGGATCCGGATCCGATCATATTCATCAATAGCTTGCATCTGCATGCATATTATATACAATAGAAACGAATACTATACTCCTGTCCAGCACATAAAAAAACACATCATGTAGTGATATGAGACTCAAATACTATACTCGTCCTGTCCAACAGCATTTTGCATCTCAACCCATCCGTTCATTCATACATACATGCATACTGCTGACTTATTCATTCTCCGTCCCATCATGAACATATCTATACACACACGTCGTTTTAAAGATTTCTACCAATCAATTGTTTCTGATTTTGGCACTTTTTTCCCTCAAAGTCTTGTCATATATGAGTATAAGCTAAGTCACTCTGGTTGAACTGTTAATGCCAATCCACCACTGGTGCTGACAGGGATTGATCGAAAATAAAAAATCATGTGTCGCTCGCTAGATCCTTGGCTGTGTGACACTTCATCGGGTCGTAAATTGTTCTATTCTCTATCTTCTTATCTTAGAGCATCTCCGAGAGTGCTCTAAATATCCTCTTAATCCTTATTTATTTAGGAAGATGGGAAAACACCTCTCCAACATTTTTCATCTCTCGATCAATACACAATCTATTTTTTTCAGCTTCACGCCATCGCACTAGGAGTAGGAGTAACGTAATTCTCGGCGAGTCAGGAGTATCGTAATTCTCGACGAGTTCTTCGGTAGGCTACATCAATTGATCTCTTGCTAGATTTGATATTAATTAAAGTTATTGGTTCTATTGTGTTTAGTAAGGCTGCATCTTGTGATCCAGCCTGTGGTCGGAGGTCGCCGGAGAGTTGTCGGAGAGGGAGGGGAAGTCGCCACGACTAGCTAGATCCTGCGTGCACTCAACGGCAGGGTTGGCGGCGGCGGGGAAGCTTTCACGTAAAGAAAAGGGAGGTGA